CTCAAGGTTTGCGAGGCGCTGGCGCTGGGTCAGGACTCCGCTCAGGTGACGGTGCCTTTAGCGCAGGTCGCTGCAACCTTAAAGCTCACGAAAGCTGTGAAGCCGGTCTTGCTGACTGCAGAGGAGTACGGCGAGACGCAGGAGACTTCGCGGAGCGCCATTCTCTCGCAGCAATGCAAAATCTTTTGCAAGCTGCTCAAGGCATCGGAAGAGGAGCCGAGCCCCGGCATGCTGCTGGTGGAGTACCCTGCGAAGCGCGTGTACGCTGGCAAAGACTTCAAGAAAGGCGAATTGGTTTTGGTGCCGCAGACCGACGGCCCCAGCAAGGTTGGCATCAACCCGCCTAAGAACCCTGGCACTGCCTTCGCTGAGGTCGAATATCTGATGGCAAAGTACTATGTACTGGCGCCTAAACCCCTCAAGCAAGAGAAGGACCTGAGCTGGACCGGCTCTTCCTCATGCTACTGGCTGCTGGGGAAAGGCTCGGAGGAAGGCAACATGCTGCAGGAAGTGCACGAGGACGAAGAAAGCGAAATGTGCTTTGTGTGTTATGTTAACAAGCGGCTCATTCGGAAGAACGAGGAGCTCATCGTGTACGAGAAAAAGCCTCCCGCGGCTGATGCAGGCAAGAAGCGCAAGCGCTGAGTTCTTTCTGGCAACCCCTGAACCCGCAGCATAGGCAAGCTCCTGAGCAACGCCGCGCCTTTAGCTTCAGTTATGGCCTGCATAGGTATATAGTTTCCTGTAGCTGGACCACGGCACGGCGTGGCTGGGGCCGCACCCTCTGACTCCACGCGCAGCAGAGCTTCTGGGCGAGCAGAAAAAGGGTCGGTTGGCATGGGCGAGTTTGTGTGCGTGCATGCTATAGGTCAAGTCAGGTATATGGGTATAACGTGTAGGTGCATATGAGCTCTCCAACATCGCGCGGCCTGCAGCACGCTCGGTGCTCGAAGGACAGGAGTCGCTGAAGGCAGTTGCTGCGAGCGTCACACATGCCTTGTACCATGACGTTGCATTTTCTTAGCAAAGCAAAGAACAACTTCCAAAAATGTTTCACTTGAAGCAATGCTTGAAAGTCGTTTCGCCGACGACCGACAAAGAGTGGGTGGTGCCTGCCAGCCAGTTGGCAACGGACGAGGGCGGCAGCTGGCTGCACCTCCGCTTCACGTGCATGGCGTTCTGCCGCTTGATCGTTGCCGAGCCGAAGGGTGCGCTGAACAACTCCAAAGCAATCAAGGAAATCATCAAAAAAAGGAACGAGGCCTTTGACGCTGCAAGCGCTCCCGGCAAGTCGGTCTTCGACGACTCCGACCAGGAGGACCTCGCTGCAGCGGCCGAGGAACCGCGCGCGAAGCGCAGGAAAGCGGAGAAAGCCGCTGCGCCGCTGTCGGTGGAGATCTCGCTGGACGGAGATGTAAAGGTTGTTCTTCGAGCCCCAAAGCGCAGAGATGGGGACATATGGGTTCGGTGCGACGATGAAAACGTTCACGCGCTGCTGCAGCATCTGGCGTCGCAAGATCACGTGGACGAGACGACTGCGGCAGGCGCCAAGCGACGTGGCCCGAAGCCCAGAAACCAGTGAAGGCGCTTTGCTGGGCGCTGCGCAAGCGTACGCGCTGACTGTTGACCGAGCAGCCGAGTTTTCTGAGAGACTTAGGCGTGGAGGAGCTATAGGGGGACACCGACTACTCCAGCCTGGAGCCGGAAAAGCGAGCAGATGCGTTGACTTTCTTCGCGGTTGCTGAATCGAGTAGAAACCCTAAACCCAAGCATGCCACTCACTTCCCGAAACCCTTGTAGAATTTGTGTGGATCCTGATTTTGTTTGTATTTC